TATGTGTACACACTGTACACAGTACACTGTCTGTGTTGTACACACATTTAATACACATCATACATTTATGCATTTAGTGGTGCTGCTTGGTTATGTCAGGGCAGCGTGTGGCCTGTGGCACGTTAGTTTTTATGCTCGCCATTCTGTGGCAAAAACGCTTTTTTGTTGCCAGAATTAACGCAACTCAACCAATATCTAGTATACCATTTATATATATATATATATATATATTTAGATAAATATCCTTTAAGAACACACTCAACTTTCTATGCATCTATTATTATTTTTTTATTTTTAATTTAATATCAGATAAATATAAGATTTGTCAGTTTCGATACAGCAAATAAATCAAATGAGCTGAAAAATACACGACAAAAAAAGGGTTTCAATTTCTTTAGGTTTTAGTTGAATAAGTTTTGATTTACTTTAAGCTTGTTTTTTTTTCTTTTGCCTGATGCTGAATTGGTTTCCTGTGCTGTAATTTCCATAATACGACATGACTTTGGCCCCATTCGCAGTTTGCAGGCAGATGCTTGACCATTTCCTTCATGTTGCTGCCAATACCAGTATGCATTACGTATACGTATTGATTCAGGCTACACACACACACACAGATGCACACACAGATGCACATACCTGCCCCTTTTAGTGTGTATATTCTTTTGTATTCTTTACCTGCCACGTCGAAATGTATTTGGAGAATGATGGTAGCCGGGCGAACATTGCAGTTTATGCCGTTAAAATCATAAAATGTTTGTCTGTGAATATGGCATACCCCACATAGATATGGTCACGCCTCCCAGCACACACACACACACACACACACAGTTGCCCTGTCATGTTATGGATGCAGAAAAGACAGCCATTTTCTTAAAAGTATCATATACACAGACACACACACACAGACACACACACACACACACACACACACACACATAGAGAACTGCTGCACTTATTTTGCGCTTTGCCCGCTGCCGCGTTTTATGCATTCCATGTGCACAGATCTAGATACACAGAGCGAAATGGGAGGGGGTGGGGGGGGGTTTTGGTAGCAATGTTAAATTTTACGTTTATGCGGCACTAACAATAACCTGACTGGCCATGCAACGCCAACAGAAATACTCTTAGCCACGGCCGTACTCTACGACCATACGAGCATGCTGGGCTCTTTCCCTTATTAAATTAGATTGCCTCTGGTCTTCTGTGGCTAAGGACAAAAAGAGAGCGAAAGACAGACAGAGAGAGAGAGAGAGAGAGAGATAGAGATGGCAACATTGGGGCATCAAATTGCTGCCATATATAAAGCGCGATTTACTGTGCCACAGCCCCAAAAACTTTCGTAGCAAATGTAGGTGGGGCCGGGGGGTTAGTCGGGGGTGTGCGGAGCAGGGCAAGAGCATTATCAAAACGCTGGCTAATTTCAACCTTGCGCCCCAAGCGTCGCACACACTCACACAAACACACAAACACATACACACACACACACACAGAGGCCGCAACACCCACACAGCTTGCTGATGTTGCTGTTGTGTTTGTGAGTGTTGCTTGTTTGTTTGCTTGCTGAGGGTCCAGAGATCCATTCTCGTTGTGGAAGTATGCAATAATTTACGCCGCAATAACGCATAAATCTGTCAAAGTTGCTTAAAAATTAAATAAAGATAAATAAAATGCACGACAAAGGCGCGTTCAACCGCATCAATCTGATGAGGCGGGGGCGGGGCTGGAGAGATTGGAAACTCGAAACTGTCGAAGCAAAGGTGAACGGAGAACGGTGAACGGTGGGTGGCTGGGTGGGTGTAAGGGAATGTGGTGCGGTATGTGCAAGCAAGCAATGCGTGAACAAAATAAACAAATAAAATCAAAAGCAAATACAACAACAAAATAACACTAAGCAGCAGCGGCAGCAGCAGCAGCAGCTCAGCGAATGATAAGTGGAAAAAGTGGGGGCGGGGTATACAGTTGCGGTCAAAATAATACTGCTGCTGCTTCTTAAAGCATTTCTTAAATATATAAATCGAGACCTCTTCAAAATCTTCAATATATTTGGCATCGTTTTAAAATACTATTGTTTTCCAACTACCAAACGAACTAAGACTTAACTAGCCATCAAAGCTAGTTTTTAGAAGTATTATTTAGCCACTGGAAAAGCTGAGAAAACTTAACTTAATTATTCCACTACTATTATAATGATAAATTTAAATAATACTTGAATTTAAACACTTTAATTTGCTTGTTGTTCATTAATATTATAGCTATTACTATTATTTTGACCGCAGCTGTATATATATATACATATATATATGTGTGTGTGTGTGTGTGTGTGTGTGCTCAACAATAAGTAACATCAAGAGAAACATCCCGAAGCGAGCGAGAATCGCACTGAATGAAATCGGGACGGACTATAGAAATATGCGTGGCTATAAAAAATTTAATTTTATTTCTTCGCATTGAAATCGCTTTGTTGTTGTTATTCTTATTGTTGTTGTTGTTGTTGTTGCTGCTTCTGCTTCCTTTGCTCGTTGTTGTTGTTGTTGTTGCACTGTTGTCTGCAGTAAGCAAATTAAATTATTTGCCGTTAATTGTTTTCTTCTCTCTGGCGCTTTCAGCTTTTTATGAATGGGGCCTGGTCACTCAAATGCCAGAGTGACGGCAGCGGGCAGCAGCGAGGGGGTGGAGGGGCAAGTGTGTGGCTGGCTGAGTGTGCGTTAGTCGTCAGCTCATCAAATTGTCTAATTTGTGTTGATTTAAACAGTCGTCCGAGTCGTTGAGTCGCCGCATCGAATCGCCGACTTGTCGACTGATGACCATAAAAAAAAACAATAACACAAAAAGAGAGAAGAAAAAGAAACAGAAACAGAGAAAAAAAAAAACAAATGCTGGATGCCGCCAAAAGTTTTTGAATGGCTTTTTTATAGGCCCATATTTTCAGTTTCTATGGGCATTCCGAATGGGTTTTCGTGGAATGCCCACATTTGCCCACATTGCGGTTGAAAGAGTTGCTCAAGTTGACTCCAGTCGTAAAATCCACACACACACACACACACACACACAAACACACACACACACACGAACACATACATATTGCATATTGTTGAGATTTAGGAACAACCACGTAGCCTGAGCTAATAACAGAGACAAGAAAATTTCAAGAGAATTTATACAAATGAAATTGCTGTGTCAGACGATAAAGTGCCACATGCCGTTTGCAAATCAACCGAGTTTTATCCGAAAGTTTTCGCCTGGTCTTCTTCTACTTCCACTTACATCAAATAACATTGCTGAATTCTTATAAATTCTTATGTTAATTTTATTGATATCATAAAAATAGGACTCTAAATTTACGCTAGAATAGCTCATTGTAATATTTTATATTAAGCATTTGCTGATAATTCAGTGGAACGGTCCAAATCTAAATCCTCTTCCTCTTTACAAATTTTACAAAATCAATTATGCTGAATTAAAGATTTGATTTGTATTTGAGAAACTTGCAATAACATTTCACATATTAAAGTAATGAATTTTAATCAAGTTGCCTTTCCTTTTATTAGATGCGTGCAATTTGAATACTACAAAAGCATCACAAACAGATTTCCTGTCACTGTTAACAAAAAAAAAAAACATAAAATAAAGCAAAAAAAAAAGAAAATAAAAATAATGAAACCAGAAGAAATAAAACACAAACATCAAGGCCAAGAACTGAGCCTGTGGGGCAAGAGCATGTCGTGTCCAGGCCTACGTTCGCTTTGCATACCCTCTCTCTCTCTCTCTCTCTCTCTCTCTCTCTCTCTGTGTGTCTCTTTCTCTCTCTCTATCTTTCTCTGCTTGTGAACAACTAATTAGTTTTGCATTTTTAACTACCCGCACTGGCGGTGAAGGGGTGTCGGGCAAGTTTTGATGGAGGGTCGACTCGGACTCGGACTCGGACTCGGTCTCGAACTAGAACTACAACTGGAACTGAAGACTGCGAATGCGATTTGGGGCTGGGCCACACGCACGCGCCACATAAAAATCTAGAACTAGGCAGGCAAAACAATCACAGAACTGCGTGCAACAACTTTTTTTGCAAGAGCAAACACAAAACAAAAAAAAAACAAAGCAAAAAGCAAAAACCGCTAAGAGCGTTCAGTCAATCAAATGCTGCAGACAGTGCTGTGTGCCAGTAGACACACAGCTCGCACAACAATGTTGTTAACTGAAACACAACTACGATGACATTGCCCATTGCGGTGAATTGGCCAAGTTTTTAGAGGGAAAACTAGCCAGAATCTCTTAAGTTCAGATGCAACGAATTTTATGATAAACAAATCAAACCGAAAAATCGAAATATCTGAAAAGTAAATCATTTTAATTAAATTTAACTCAGGGAATAAATAGCTATAACTATCTGAATTTTTGACATGTTTAAGGAGTCTATGTGAAATTATAAACGACATGAAAAGATATCAATATATATATATATATTTATATAAAGATCAATTCCAGCTGCTAAACAATGTTTCTTGTAGCTTTATCTCATATATTAAATTTATATACAAAACTACGACTCACGACTCACAGATATTAAATATTTCTCTGTATGCAACAAAAATATATATGAATTGATGTTTGAGAGTGAAAGTTGCTGATTCACAAACTTGTGTCTAGTATATTGCTAGTATAATTTGGTAATGGGTAACATAAATTCGAGCAAATATGTATTTCAACTATGAAATAAGTTGTTATTGTTGCTTTTGTCACGCCAAGACCAACAGCAAACACACTTGACTTGAGTTGAGTTGAGTTGGACGCATTTTAATGTAATTACATTAAATGAAATTACATTAAATAATAAAAGTAACGGCGCAAAGTTGCCAGATGCGAGCAGAGCGCAGAAGGAGAGCGAGACACAAACAGAAAATGTCCGTCAATTTGCCCAAGCGATGATGAACAGAGGAGCCGAGCGCAAGGGCAGCACTGCCAACGCCAACTAGTGGGGGGTGGGTGGGGGAGGGGGATGGGGA